CAAGGACTTCCAAGCAGTAACTTTTCAAACAGACAGCATATCCCTGGCCCTTGGTCCCCTTTCCCTGCTGGCCAGTGGCTCGGCACAGGCGTGCACAGCCCGGCGTCACGCGTGCGCCCTGCCGTGATGTAACGCCCCGAGCAAGCCCAGCCCTGCCAGAGTGTTTCTAGACACATTTGTTTACAACCTAAGAAACCCAAACAGCAACTTTCATAATAGGAGTCCCATCTCCTAGTGCAGTTGGTGCCTGTTGCTGTGAGACCAAAAAGAAAAAAAAAAAAAAAAGGAAAAAAAAGGGGGGGGAAAAAATACAGGAGCGTATCTTTGTACAGTGATTGCAGTAACAGATGAATAAACATGCAACCTGATACTGCACATCTGGTATTTCATCACTCCAGATACCTTATTCACATTCAAATATATTTAATACTGTGGAAAGTTTATAAGGTAGCAATGGTTTTATAGAGGCAGTAACTTGCATGGGACTTTTAAAATTAAAAGCAGTAGTAAAAATAATTTATACCATGTTACCATATTCTTCATAAAGCTATTTACCTCGCAGTTTCCCATTAGAAACCCAGAAAAACACCAAATAATAGCAGTTAGCTACAGAATCGCACAAGCCTACAGAATAGGATTTCTTTTGTCAATGTACTAGTTCAAAGTTCAATTTTAATATTCGGGTTATACAAGGTGCTTTGGAAATGAAGACTATTATTGCTCATCATGCAAAAATTCTATTACCTGAGATGAAATTTTTATGAAAGTATCATTTTCCCTTTACTGTCACGGCAGTGCATAGCAAAAGATTTTATGTATAACCTAATAAACATATACAACAGTTCTGAATGGCTGCTATACACCTCCTCACATTAATTAGTACTCGTTCTTCTCTGTAAAACAACTAAAGATGCTACAAAACTTGCTTTTTAAATAATCACTACATGCTTTCAAGCAGTTTTGTTGCAGAGAAGAACACCTCCAATGCAAATTTATAATTGAAGAGCTGTTTACAGGTCTCAAAATTTAAGATCAAATTATGTTCATGTCTTAAAGGCAAAAGCCACCTCTGTTACCTTGAGGCTAAGTTAGAAGTGCTGATAGCAACATGCCTGCAGGCATATTACACTTCCTAGCAGCTTATGGCACTTTGGCATTGCCCCTAGAACTGCACTAAAGCTACTTCTCTCTATAGCTAAATTTAAAAAAAAAGATGAAAATGTGCACACAGGGCCAAATCCATTCTCGTGGTAATTCCACTGACTTCAGTGTTACACCAGGGATAACAGTAGGGCTGCATTTCACAGCAGCTTTCGTTCTTGTAATCTTTTCCAAAACACTCTCCCAGGAGCAAAGACAAGCACAGGCAAATATCCTGCCATTAAGTGAGTTCACAGGAATTGCTACAAGCAACTAAACTGTCAGCAGTAAAAGACCAACAATCGGAAGAAAGTACAAATACAGGACAGCCAATGCCCTCTAATGGGCTTGAGTTTTACTATGTGCTGGATAAACAAGGACATGGAAATTCATGGGAATGGATCTCTGAGAGGGAAGGCAAATTACAGGGTGTCCCACTTTGTACCAGTGGATGGTATTTTTGTTTGATCAATTTTTCTTTTGAAATGGTACAGATGAAAAAAATCTTACAAATACCTTGCAAGACAAATGAAAATGGGTCTAAGAACTCTGTCTTTCCTCTATGGGCTATGCTTGCCTGCTTCCACAAAGAGTGTGAGCATCAACTTATAGATGTGTTCCTCTATCTTCCTTCAAGCCTTCATACTTATACCATCCTCACCTTTCTTTAATTTTATTTACTTTTAGTCAATACTGCACTAGGAACAAAACCAACACTCTAAGACCTTCAGAACCACATGCACAAGGGAAAGAGGAAAAGAAGTGATGGATAGTGCTTTCCTGCAGAAAGCTTATCCCTGTTCCCTTGGCCTCACCCTGCATTCCCTCTCTCTCAAGAATTTCCAAACTGGAATTTACCCATCTGAACCAAAACAAGTGTCTTTGCTTCTTATCCAACCATTTCCTATTAATTTAAAAACGAGAGTTTCATTAAGCTTTCATTTTCTTTTCTGAAGGTTTCTTCAAGGAGCCACAACCCTGGGCCAGCAGCAGCCTGAAACGCTCCTGGTCTTGCACAGGAGCATTTACAGCTTTGCCTTTATAGCCTGAGGATGCCCTAAGGCAAAAAAAAAAAAAAGTCTAGACATCCTCTTTCCCTTCCCAGCCATGGGGCCCTGCAACCCTTTTCTGTGGGTATAGGATCAGAAGTTTTTTGTTCTCGTCATCCTCTTGTGCCTTAAGTTACTTTTTTGGGAAGGCAAGGGGAGAGGAAAACACCCTCCCCTTCCCTTCCCTCCTTCACTTGAGATTTCAGCTGTAGAGGAACAGCTGAAGTGATTCAGGCTGCCCAGAGAGGTCACAGATGTCCCTCAGTACCAGTGGGACACTCTGCTCCTGCCCAGGTGGCACCAGGGGCAGGCGCCCCTCTGCCACCCCCACCCCCCAGATTTCATGCCCCCCAGTCCTCCTTGAGCAATCCACCAAGTCCCCCTGAGCCAGCTGACCAAGAGTCTGTACACAGAGCTCATAGAAACATGAGTTTTAGGATGGTTTTAGACCACCACAAAGAACAGTGAAGAAACTCTGGCTTCTGCTTACACGAATGTCACAAAGCTCTCATTAAATCAAAGGCAAAGACTTAAAATATTTCTTCAAGCAAAATCCCTGCTCTTCTCAAAGTCTCTCTCCAAAGATCAAAAACTACAATTGCTTAACTCAATCCACACAGAGTGATCATTATATTTGCCTCTATAAAAATCATATTTGTTCTTGTGCCTATATCTAAAGGTAATTTCAGACAGAAAATGAAATGGTGCTCTCTTGACCTCTTGTCTTACAAGGTTCATGAATTACTGACACATTACAATATCCCCCAACACTGTGGAAGCTTAGAGATACTGCAATGTCTCTCTTGTAAGTGAAATAAACTTGGTATGCCACTAAAAGGCATTAAATTATTTTCATTATGCCACACAGAATCTAAAACACTTACACTGTTTTGATTTCAAAATCCTTTGAGAACAATTATGCTCTCAGGGCCATAAGACTCTATTAGAAAAGTCCTCAGAAACCTAGCATGGTTTCAATAAATCCTCAAACACTACAAAGCAGTTACTCAGCTTGAAGAATGAAAACATGAGTTCATCCACTGCAAAGTCAGGATGTAAATTCTGCTCATAGAGTACCCTTGCACTTCCTAACACATTTTTTTTTTTTCTTCTCAATCAGGGCAACGCTTTAAGTCAGGTTTTCAGCATCAAGCACACTTAGATCCTTTTTTGATTGAAAATAAACTATATTTGACTTAGGATTAGTACAAATGTGAGATGTGCATATGCTTACGGTACTACTAGCTACCAGTATTAATCAGCAATTAGATATGCACAAATAGCTTTATACATATATAATTCAACAAGTCTTAACATTCCGGATTAGAGAACCATCAAATGAAGTCAGTGATTGTCAAAAGGAATGAATAAAAAAGTTAACTTCTTTAATTTATACAATGGCACAAAAAATGCTTCAGAACAGCGAAAATCAGATTTCAGGGGTGACTAGTGTGGTTGTAGGGATCCTGATTAAAAAAAAAATGCAGCCACAGTTATTTTGGCTGATGAGGCTGTTCAAGCCTAAGTAGAGCTTTTGAGCATAAGTACACAATAAGCTTGTTTGTATATACATGCTTATGTACTCCTAGAAGGAGCACAACCTTCTAATTAGGCAAATCATCTCCCCTTTCCAAAGGAAAATAACAGCATCAAAACGCAATCAAAACAGGCGGAAAGGGGCGAGGAGGAGAGGACAAGAGAGATTATATTCCCTTGGGCAGTGGCAGAACAGGAGGGCGGGAGAAGGGGGGGTGGGGGGAGGAAAAAAAAGCAAACACCCAGGCAGGAAACCCGGCCCCAGCAACTTTCTGCCAAGGGCAGCTGAGATGCTTCATCCCAACCCTTTTTTTTTTTTTTTTTTTTTTTTTTTTTTTCCCAGACGCGACTGTTTGGTGTGGCCGCCGGGGTCACACGGCAGCTGCGGAGGGGCCGGGGGCCCTGGTCCGCAGCAGCGGCAGCAGAGTCCCTGTTTCCATGACCTCAGCGGGGGGCACAGCTGGTGGCAGCTGCAGCACCATCTGCTCGGGGCTGGGCCCCCGCCCCTGCCTGGGGCTGCCCGGCCAGGTACTCCAGCCAGAGCCAGTGCTGGAGTGTCCCCAGGGGGGGCACAGCCACCCACAGCACGGGCACCCCAGGGAGGGGCTCTGCCGGTCCCCAGGAGGGGTTTGCAAAATGGAAAAGTAAAAAAAAACGAGAGCGGGACGAAAGCTACAGAGCCCCGACGGTGCGTGCAGATGTCAGTGTCCCTCCGCGGAGCCCGTATTTATGGAATGCTGTCAGCACGTCATCTGATTTGTAGCAGTTCGCACGGAGGGAAGGGAAAAGGGGGGGGGGGAAGAAAAGAGATGCCAAGGCACCCCTAACTTTCCTCTTTCATCGAGAGGCTTCTGAACACGACGAGAACTTTATCACTTTTCAGTTCGGTATTGCAAAATCTGCCACACCACCACGCAGACAGTGCTTCCCATTTCCCTGTCTTCACCACTTATTAAAAAATAAAGAAAAATGCTTACTTCTTCTATGCCCAAGGAGTAAACACATTTAGAAGTTTCTTTTAAACATTCACATTCAACCACAGCACAGCACAATTCTGTATCAATATTGCTTCCTAGTGCCAGTCGTGAAGGAACTGGCTCAGACAGTCCTGACCACCACATCAGCCCAGCTGAGCTCTGCCAACTTCACAGGTTTCTTCCAGGTTTACTCCAAAAGTACCAAAATCAGAACTAGGAATTTTGTGTGAAAACAAGCTGAGCTCTACAGTTCTCATCGGCACAATTATTTCCAAAGGCTAAAACATGTACCACTTACCATACATTTTGCCTTCATCTGATAAGATGATTTTCCTCCTCCCACATGGTGGATAGATAGCTAGAGCCTCCTGAAAGCTCTGTTCAATGTCAGGGCTCCAGACACCTTCTGCATCATTGTCAATAGGTTTATCTGCAGAATCACTCATTCTTTCAATATCTTCGGCAGGACTCTCGCTGCCGCTCCAGCTGCTGGGCTCAATGGTGATGGCTGGGGTCTCCAAGCCTAAGCCTGGAGTCTTCAAGGAAATAAACCTGCAAAACAAACAAACAAACAACCCCGAAAGGCATTAAAGACATGGAACTCCAGGTAAACATTTCTGTCTACTTTGATGCTAAGTTAACTGCAGCTGAGCAGGAATGGCCGTAACACGAGCATGGGGTGCACCCAGGAAAAGTGAAAAACTAATAACCATTCTACCTCAAATGAGCACAGGTGGAGCAACAAGGCCGTCAGAAGGGGAACTCTACCACATTTTCTGTGTGCAATTACATGAAGGCATAGAGCATCAGGTTATTTTTCACAGATAGACAAAGTGGGTCTTAATACTTGGAAAAACTCTCCAGCCACATTTCATCTGGTTGAAGACTGGCACCCTTAAAATAACGAGCCAGACCCTCAGGCAGGAGTAAATCAGCGTACTTCCACTGGCTGGAAGGAAAGCACACCAATTTATGCCACAGTGACCACCAGAGCCTAAACCCACTTGAACCTAAAAACAAAAGCAAAAACTATTGTTCGCATTCATCCGGATGTCAGTGGAGTAAATGGAATTACACTAGTGATGACACAGCTCAATGCAATGAAGTGGAAAAGGCTGTAATTTTCAGATCTTACCCAAATAAATAATACAATAAGAAGCTGAGCTACATACGAGAAGAAATTTTTTAAATGATAATATCAGAGAAAGGAATTACAAGAAAAGATATATGCTCTGCTTGATTTAAAAGGTCTCTGTCACAGAACCATAGCAGAACAAAAATTACAAGCTTCAAGTTGCTGAATCAATTTAATAAGAAATAATTTAATATAGCTGCACCTGCTCACACCAGCAGAGCTGCAGATCTGTCAGTGTTCCTTTTATATTTTTGAGAGAAATACAACTCTGCTATAAAGACTTGCTCCAGGCAAAAAAGCTGCTATACCAGACCACATTCACCTCTGGTGTAATTCTTCAAGAAGTCAGTGAAATAACACCAGGAAGAGATTTGGCTCAACGTGTCTAGGCATAATGCAGTTTTATTTTGAAAAACGAAGAAGTTTGGTGACTCTAACTAATCTAAGTGGATGGGAGTGTTCAAACATGCACACATGAGCTGCAAACGCACTTAAAAATCCAGTTTGCTGCGTAAACACTCAGAATCCCCAAACTATAACAGTTTTACTCTGCTGGGGCAGAGGAGAGGGGCTTCCCCTTCTGCACACCTCCATGCTCATGCTGATACACCTCTCACTGGGATCTCACAGGATGCCCATAAAACAACAGGTGAAAAGTGGCAGAACGGCATTTACCGCACGGAGAAAGAAGGGGAGGTTGTACATGGAAGGCCATGACACCTCTGAGCTTTGGGCTGGAGAACTCCCTGAAAGAGGAAATATTTTCAGCAGCCCTCACTCGAACTCACCAATCAACCAATCGCTAGAGATAACCAAAACCTGACAGTCCAGTCCCTCGGAGGCTACGGTGTCTTGCAAAAAAAAAAACAACAGAGCTGAAACCGGGGAAACAGGGAGCAGCCTCTCAGTCTCACAGACCAACATTACCAGTCTGACATCCAAAGTATGGGGTATTTCCACTCCTCCAGGCTCTTAACAGGAGCTCGGAGGGATCAGCACATGTGAAATGGGCTCCCAAGAACTTGATTTTCCTTACTCGCCCGTCTGTTTCCATAAATGAGGCATTTCTTAACTTCACATTGGTTTGAACATTTCAGCACAGCAATCGCCAGGCTAATCACTGCCTCAAACGCTTTTTAATAACTGATAATGAGGGAGCAGATGGATTCGCAGGGAACCACACACAAATGGTAAGTGGGTGAGAAGTCTGGCCAAATGCACCACTTATTATCTGGGAAATCCAGAATATACAAAATTTTTAAGTTCTCATCACATGAAGGGAGATGTAAACCTTGGTAAAACAGTGAAACACACCATCCTTCCTCATCCTCAGAAGGTTGAATGGTTGATTCAACCCCTGCAAGAGTTGAAACTTGTATGTAAGATTAAAGTCAAAGCATAAACACAGCGATACCGGGAAAGTACTGACATTAAACAATCATGTCCACTTAAGCCTCCACATACAGGGGGAATTTTAGGTAAATGAGAGGTAATTGAATGTTAACAGGGATAATTAGGGAGGTTTCAGTTTTATTGCCATAGTGCAGGGGAAAATGGCTACTGGAGGACTTCACATGATCGAGACCACCACTGAGCATTTCACCAGAAGACAGCACCAAATGGGACTGTTTCCTGGGTCTGTTCTTCAGAGGTGACTACAGGAGGAAATCCTTCCCCTCCCTGATCCCAGGCTCAACAATATGCAATGCACAGCACAGCCACAGGCAGCTTTTGCTCAGCCCAACCACCCTCTGCTTACAAAATCTGTCACAGTCATAGCCTCAAGTCTTATTATCGCCCTATAAACCAGCCCTTGTTATTACATTATGCCGAAATAATTAAAAAGCACAAGGATCACAGTGAGGCTCTAAAGTAATTAATGTTACTTGATATTCATGTTATATCTTGCATCGTGTTTACTGGTGAATTTTCACTAAGGTGCTATCTCCCTTCCCATTCCTTTTTACATACTTGGATATCATCTTGAGGCATTAGTAGCTACTATTCCAGACTCTAAAATGTAAGACAACCAAATGTTTCTTCCAGAACATCTGTACAACTGGGGCAGGAAGCAACCTGCTGGAAGAAAACCTCTCATACTAAAGGTTATTTTCAGTGATTTCTGTTTTGGTGAATGCTGACACTACAGATCAATCTAGAGGACCAAGGAGAAAAAAACACTTGGATTACAACTGCTAAATGACTCCCTCTTATTTCAGGAAAATAATGAGCTAACTCAGTTAATCACTTCCAGCTCACCTCTGCATATCAAAAGGCAATTCCACATCCTTCTTAGCTTGAATTCTAAGGACCCAACTGTGACGAAAAATTTCAGACTTCTTACGCTGAAGTTCTTCACGATTATCAAAAATAATACAAGCTGTTGACAGATGAACTTTGTTTCACATTTCTAATGAGCTATGAATCTCTTGTGAAACATGTGGATTTACAATCCAATTTAAATTTATAAAAATTGTTTTTAAAAGCAAGCCTTATTTTTATTAGCAAACTCCAAATCTTGCAATACCAACTTCCAGCAGACAAAGAGTTAAGCTCCTGGGGGTAATCAACCCCACCTCCCTTCACCAGAATCAGAGCTTGTACACATGACAGATCATTCTAGGATTATTTAAAGCACACTACTGCAGTTTAGGAGGTCTCTCCTAACTAGAGTTTTCCTTCCAACACCAGTCTTACATATTTCAAGACAGCTTCCCCTGTGCATAACACTCCTTTAGCTGCAACCCCAAATGCATCCTTCCTGCAGTTGCTTTCCATTCTCTCCAGTTAAGTCACTTCTAAGTATATCTTTTGTTGTTCAGTAATTAAGACACTTTTTCTCTGCACAATGGAGGTATCTCCCCCACCCCCCCCAAACAACACAATGTTACATTTCGGAATGGAGAAATTAGTAGGGGCAATAAAGGATTTTATAAACAGGTTTTATCGCCAATCCATTCAAGACAGCTCGATGAGGTACAAGATAGGACTTATTATCATTATGTTCCCTCAGTAGATCAACTTGAAAAATTACTTTAAAAACACAGAGAAACAAGACTAGCCATTGTCAGAGTTGATCAAACCAATGTATTTAACTAAAACCAAATGATAGTCTGCAACTTCTTATCAAGGGAATGGTTTCTTTACTTGCACAAAACACTCTCTTATGCCTTCACTTTATGAGCAATGCAAACCTGGACTTGCTCAGAAAGCTGCTGCTCACAGACCAACAACTGAGATCAATAGCTCCTCACAGGAGCATAGGACAAGTGCAGATTTAAGGCCTTGATATGTTTCATACCCTTCAATATTTGCACAATGAACCAACATGAAAACACTGTCTTTCAAAAGTCATTACGGACGAATCTTATTTCATAATATCTTGCAAAAGTTAAACCATTTTCTCTGTTTGCTTAATTCATTTACTTTCTTGGATTTCAGTGTACAGGTGCCAAATGGTGCCTTCACTGTGGTGTCACATAACCACTGGAAGAGGATTAATACTCTGCAGATATTGGTGCAGGAACACGAGAATGACTGAAAACATGCCTTGATTCTGAGAGGTGTCTGAGAAAGAAAACATTATATCCCCCAAGTCTTCTAAATTGTGTCTGCTTGAAGGGGATGAAGTGTAGGTATTTTTGAGATAATCTACAATGGCACCTGCAAGAATTGGCAGGTGAGAAAGCACCAGTGTAGTTATCCACACTGATCTTCTGGCTATGAATAGCTGTAGATGGCTGTTCTTTCAACCAGACCAATATTCCTAAAACCTGTCTTTCAGAAAAACTTTAATTCTAGAGGTAAAGATTTTTAGTGTTGAAGGGGTAAATTACACTTTTAAAGATACATTTTATTTTTGTGAACAAACTCAGCTTCAATTATATAAAAACAATGGGATCGAGAATTCAACAAGTTTTTTATAAACATCGAGATGATAATGAGCAGATGAGTAAAAACCAACTAATTCTAAATTTGCAGATGGCAAATTTTCTCTGAAGGTTTGAAATGTTGCAGGCCCATGGGATTTTCCTTTTGCTTTGTTCAGCAGTGCAAATCCACAGCTGGAGTGCTAAAGCTCTGGAGAGAATCCAGAGGAAGAAAGTTATCAGATCTAGAAAACATGACCTACCAGGAAAGGAATTAGGTTTGTTTAAATTTAGAGAAGGCTGATGTGAGAAGATAACCACTTTCAAATAAGGAAAAGGTAAAAGCAAAGCAGAGAAGCAACTCTTGGCCATTTCAACTTAAATTGCAGCAAGAAAACTCTAGGTTGGTCATTTGGAAGACTGTTCTGACCCTACCAAGTCACACCCTGGAAGCATCTGAGGGCACGGGGGAACTGCTGGAGAAGAGAGGTTGTTCAGAGGAGGTGACACAAATGTTTCTCAGGATCAATGCTCAGCCCTGTCTGAGG